AAAAAGACATTTACCAAATCATACCTGGAGACAGGCATTTAATCACAATTACAGGTTTCCAGGGGTTAACAGTGTTGCAAACTAAATGTAATGGGAAACAGCCTCATCTGCTGGTTTGAGGAGATACAATCAGGTATTTACACATGGTTTAATACTTGCCTTTTTGTTTTTCTTTCTCCATTTACACGTCCTAAAGCTCATACAGTAAAATCCACAGGACTGAATTTTGGGGTCGTTTTTGGGGGGTTTTTGTTGGGTGTTTTTTTTATTCCCAGAAAAACCATTTGCAGACTCTCTTCAGATAATTGAGAGATCCCAAAAAATTCAGTAAAAGGAGAAGCTCTGAATCTACTTTCTGGCTCCTGGTTGTTAATATAGACAGACATGTCTAAAGAGATTGCTCAAAGACTTCCCATTATTGAAGTTTCTTGTAATTTTACTGAAACTTCATAGTTTCAGTAAATCAGCTATTCCATGGCACTGTTTGTTTCATAAAGAAATGTTTGGTGAAGATTTTTGCTAGGGTTTTTTTTAAGTTCATTTAAAAAATAATTTCTGAAATAAAATTATTGAAAAATATGCTGTTTTGTCTCATTAAAGATTAAACCTTTTATTAAGAACCATTAGCATTAAAAAACAATAATGGAGAATTTAGTGGGAAACTGTGTGGGATAACAGGTCACCCTGAACTTAAGGATGTATTTTTGCTGTCTTTTTAGTCTCAATGACATTAAAATCTAAACTTCTGCTAATGTTAACATGAGCTAATGTTGACATGAGCTAACTTCTGAGTGGCTGACTTTGCAGTCTCAGTATTCTTACAAGAATCATCTAAAAAACAAGAACAACAACAAAAAACCCCAAATAGTTACAGATATTCTTAAAGTGTCCCCTCGTCCTTATCTGCTCTCCCCTCCTGGAGACTGTCCCTGTTCATCCTTTCAAGCACCTCATCGTTACCTTTATTGCTGTTATGTGTCTGACACGTGTTGTCCTTCCTCGCCAAGGCCAGGGGATCCTATAAACAAGTGTTTTCCATATCCCTGTGTGGTCTGTCAGCCCCATGTTCCCCCAGGATACTGCTCTAAACTTAATACAATTTGGTTTTGTCAAAGTTAAAGCTATAATGACTCTCATTATTTCATTATCTTGATTGCAGAAAGTACTTTAAAAAACAGCACTCAGGTTACTGAAATTACCTCGGCTTCACAATTCCATCCTTCCTTTAAACTCTAATTTTCAAAGAGCTGAACAATTCCAGTCCCATTCAAATCAGAAGGCTCTGCATTCCCTTAACACTTCTGGAATTCAGGCCACTCTGTTTCAGTGTCTGTGTTCAGATGGAAGACCTTGGATGCACCAGAAGAGGTTCAAAGTCAATGTTCAACAAACAAAATGAAAAACTTAAAATAGAAGTGATAAAGATGCCCTCAAACTGTGTAAGAAAGAAGAAAATAATCAAACAAAACAAGGAATGCGCAGAATATCAAAGGTCCGGAGCATTAATTGTTATTTTTGCATGCAAATGGCATTTCAGAGATTAGTGGCCAGAACATAATTTATTGTGATGTGAAAATCCTACCATGAGTATTTTTTATCAAGGGCACAGCACTAAAACACATTTGTGTAAAGAGGCTTTACAGGAGATTACATTCACATTGATTCAACCCAAAAATTGCCCTTTCAGGAATAACCTATATTATCTACCAAAATCTCACTCACCAGCAGCTGCTCACAGCAATTATTCAAAAAAAAAGGGACACAGCCTAAACAGAACGTACTTGTTCTCTGATATGTACATTAATATGTATATTAAACTATTACTATTGCCAACTTAAAATACCCCTTTGATTTCAGAGATATTTTAACTCTTACAGAAATTAAGAACTAAAATATTTGGTTTCTAAAAATATTTACCTTTAACAAAAGTAGCCATTCTTCTGCCACCAATTTCCTAAAGCAACCATTTCAAACATGCCTAAAGCAAAATAAGTGTTACTGATCAGCCATTTAAATGACAATAAACACACAGGAACCTTTTTATGTGAATGGGCCTCCCACTCCCCTGAAACAGGGAAAACATTCAACAATTACTGAAAAATATTGGTGGAACAAGGTGAGAGCCATCACTGATGTGACAAATATAGGAAAGAATAATACTGGGAAAGCTAAAGAACAGTTTGATTGCAACAACATAAATTCAATTATGAAAACAGCCCTTACAAACCTGGGGGGAACAGAAGGAAAGATGAGAGACACTCAATGAATCTCAAACAAAACAATAAACAAATGCCAATTAAAGACTTCAGCGTATACTTGTGGGGAAAAAAAGGTTAAAAATTGATAAGATGAAACTGGAGACAACAGTACTGCAAATGATGAATTAAGCTACAATTAAATCTTCATTTGATCCTTCAGAAACATGAATTTAACACTGGGTGTCCTAGTTTAACAATATATTTTAGGGCTACTAATTCACTGGCAGTTTTAAATAAGAATAAAACTATCTGTAGATACAGGCATAAAGCTGAGATGCTGTTGTTGAAAATGGAACTCCAGCTTTAATTTGCTTAATTATGTGTCTAAGCAGTGGAAATAATAAGCTGTTCATCACAGCAACATGTTAAATATTTAGTTTACAAGCAGTGAACCACACCAGGAGATAGGCTATGAGAGGAACAATAAGTCAGCACTGCTCAGCCAAAAAACATTTTCAAAAATTCAAATCTTCAGAAATATTGAAGTAACCACCAGAGGAAACAACTGCTGTAAAATTGCAAATATTCTAAAACTTATTAGCAGAAGGTATAGGGAAAAAAAGTAAATTATTTTTAAGATCCTGTCTGATATGCTGAATATTTTCCAGGTAACTTTTTCCAAAAGCATAATTGTTTGCCCCCATACACAGATAACAAAGCTGATACCAGATCTCAGTATTCCCAACTATTGCACCCTGTGAAGTGATACTGGAACAGATAATTCTCTTTGCAAAAGGAGCTCCCAGGCCATCTAAAATACTATTGCACTAAGAACAGACTACAAAAGGCACATTGCAGTGTAGAGTTACACTGGCCAATCTGGTACAAAACAGGAGCTGTAATAAGGCTGGAAAGAAATGCCTCATAGAAGCTTTGGATTCATCTTGCCTTTTTAACCCAGTGCTGGATAAGAATTCCAATTCTTACATTTATTGTCAAGACGTTGCCTGCCAATAAACAAGCATTAATCTCTTCATTTCATGTTGATGCAGAAGTTTAACAAATTTATTTTTGAGAAAATTAATTGAGAATTTAGGGAAACGAATGAGAAGAGAGTCTGTAAAGGACAGAGAAACCACTGGAAGGTAAGAAGGGAAGCAGAGAGGGCAATGAGTTGTCTGGTATGTGCTGTTCTGCTGATTTCTAGTCCCATAAGCTGCAACAGATACACAGCCCCCTCTGGCTCACAGCTAAAATGAAGCCCTTTTGGAGGGCTCTGTTTTAGAACACATTTAGAAAAAGAATCAACATTAAAGGCTTGTGGAAAGAAAAGGACAAATATCTGTTTATTTTAGCAAATACACCCAGCTTTCCCTGAATATACCATCAGCCATATGGTGCACACATAGCTGTGACACTCAACACAGAAACACAAATTCTTTCCCTTTCTGGTGAGTTGACTCACAAAACAGGTTTCAGCTGCAATTAAATCTTCATTTGATCCTTCAGAAACATGAACCTAACACACAGCTAAACAGTGCAAGTGCCTCCAATGTTCATCTAGCTCTGAGCCAAAAGCCTTTTAATGCTAAACATGGGAGGAATTCTACTGACTTCTATAGAAACTGCAACTTTAAAAGTGTAGCATTGAGTCATTGAAAAACACCTAAACATCAGTGAAAACACTAATGATAAAATCAAGTGTTGCATAAATACAGCAGTTCATGACTCTGAATGAATTTTATTCAGCAAAACCTGCATCCATCAAAATACCTAATTCCACATCAAATGTTCAGCACTGCTCCTAAATTCAAGTACATATTTAATTACCCTTAATTGAGGTCTTAGCATGCACATGTCAGCCACTTCAAAAAACAGCTCACGATCCACATGAAAACATTCAACAGTTTCAGTATCAGCCCATCACACTGGGAGGCAAAAAGAACAAGACAACCCTCTCCCAGCACATTTGCACATCTCTTTCCTCCCCAGAGGAAAAACCCCTTGACAAAACTCTTGTATCATCCCTTAACATGCAGACAGGAGAGACGTGACCTCTGGTATACACAGAAAAAACCCAGCACACTTCCCAGAAGGAAGGATTTGTATGAGTAACATGTTATTTTGAGCCCTAAATAAAATCTTATCTCATCATGCACATTAGGAGAATGCTGTTCCCATTTATTCTTGATAATCCAAATTCACAGAGTGTGAGAAGGTAAGTCTAAGGAGTTGGCTTTTGTGGTAATCTATTCCAAGAATATATAAAAGCCTACACCACTATAGTTTATGTTCTTTTCCATCACTCCTACATGTGTCTTTATGCAAATCTAACCCTCAGGTTGCACATTTGCAACAGAAACATTCACATAATGCTGTTTTGATGCTAATGATGCTCTATAAATAATATGTAGGGGACTAGTGCAAAGTGTCAGCTGCATATTCATATACATATGTGTGGTTACTAAACCAGAATTTCCTATAAAAATGCCACAAAATAGGAATTCTCATGAGTGTTTTACTCACTGATAGGCAGCAGCAAAATAAAACTCAGGTCTTGCAAATAATGTAATTTCTAAGTGTTTCTGCATATTTATAAATAACAGGCAAGTTCCTTTCCTCCTCAGAGCCCCAGTGGAAGAAAGCAAGTTCCATGTTGGCACTCAGTGTAAAATGAAGTAAGTTTAGTAGTTTGGTGATACAACAATCCTACTTCTCTGCAACATTCTCTTCTGACTACCAAGAACTACTGGAACAACGAGGGCTCAGGCAGTTTAACAAGAATTTTCTGGTAGAACTTACCTTTTTCCTCAGTTTCTTGTGTGTTTGTTCATTCTTCATTCATGGAGCAGATAATCCTGGGAATGGTACACACAAGTAATATCAGTCATCTGAGGCCAGAGTCACTAATTGATCATTGAAATGATCAATTTAAGCACAGTTTGCATGACTGGGCTCGAACTGCCTCGTCCCAAACATCTCCCTGCAGTCACGACAGCTCTACAGCAAAAACTGCTTTATGAATAAAGTTCATTGTACTCATTACTACTGAACTACAAATAAAGTGCATCAAAGTTTATATTCTAAAGAGTTCACATTAAAATCTGCTGCATCACAGCATCTACAAAGGCCATGTTCATACTTTTGTATATATTTTTTTCTTTTAAAAACGTGTTCTATCTCAAAGATGAACTTTCACACTTGGCATACCTCCAGGACTGCAAACTTATTTTTCTCAGATGGCTGTTATTTAGCACTAGAGGTTTGCTTGAAACATTACATAACATTATATTAATTTTTACTCTTCCTGCTACGTTTTACAGTTATTTTATCAGGAGAGACAGTTGCAGCTTTGTCTTTCAGTGACTCAAGACTGATTTGCTGTTTTACTTAACTGAACAAACATTAATTTTCTTTTACAGCTTTTGTTTCTTTGGATTTTTAAGAACCACTGGGGAGAATAACTGATACTCTACAGCAGCTCCTCTTAACGAGGCTATGCAAATATTGCCATCAATAATCCAGGGCTCAGTAGTTTAAAATAATGATAAACCAAGGTGGTCCCAAATCACAATTTAATTTGCCCTCTCATTGCTTCCTGACACTTTTTAAAGATCTATAGTCCTGCTGATTGCAAATGAGGGGCAGATGAATCTCACAGTACAAAGTGACTCTCCCAGGCAGATTAAAGATTCTTCCACACGATTCCATCTTAATTAAAATATATTGCCCCCTGAAGAAGTTACCCAAATTACAAGCTAAACTCAGCACTTTACTTCTCAATGAAAATTTTACATTGCCTTAGAAAGCAAAATATCACCTGTTGTTACTGGAATAAATTCAATCCCCAGCAAGAAAACAATGAAAATAAATGAGCCTATTACTCCTACATCATAAGAGTGACTCTGGTACCACGAGACAAATAATTTATAAAAAGTAACTGTGGCAACAGTAAAAAGTATCTTACTAGTCAAGAACCTGAATGCTTCTGTTACCCAAGAATACAAGTCTTCCCACTCTGCCATGGCAACGAGGATCAGCCTGGAGGAATCACACACAGCCAAGTGATGGCTGGAGTGCTGCTACATCAGTACGACATAAGGCAGAAATTAAGATTAGATCCAAATTTTGAGTCACATCCCTTCCATACCCATAGGAATAATAACAATTACATTAAAAAATAAAAGGTGAAACAGAAAAAGAAGCCAACATACATGGGTTATTGTGAATTAAAAAAAAAATCTGAAGGGAGTTAAAAACATCAGAGGAAAATCCATGGTTAAAACAGCTAAGAAAAATAGTTATGCAAGGGCAAAGACCCTTTAAGAAACACCAGCACCTAGATGAATTATAGTTTAGAAAATATGAAGACAGTAAAATTGCTACAGGGAGACAAAAAGCTGCAAGTGGTCAATAAACATTGCCTACCTGCATTTGATAATGTGGATAACTTTGTACTGCATGAGGATAATGAAATAATTCCAATATACTTATGTTAGACCAGATAACGTCACAGGAGTCATTTTTAGGTTTTCATAAGGAAAAACATAACCACAAGGTCTAGAAAAATGCCTTAGGATATCATTAGGATGCCTTAGGATGTCATTTCCAATGCATGTGGAACAACTTGAAAACTTCTCCAGAGTAGGTGTCCCAATATAAAACAGTAACAACTAATAATTGGAGAGTTACAACACTTTTAATAATGGATTAAATGTAAAAAGGAGGCTAATTAATAAAGTAATCATTCACTTCATAATAAGAAGTATGACTAAAAGGAGAACAATATAATTAATGCCAATCAATAGTTTTATAAGAAGCTATTAAACAAACCTGGGGTTTGTCCTTTGTGTGTGCAATCACAGGCACGTTAATTATTTAGGTTTTTACAAGGCAATTCACCTAAAACATGTGGCATTTAGGCCAAATTTTACATTGTTGTCAGTGAAGTGAGGATCACAGCACTGTCAGTGCTGGTGGAACAGCAAATTGTGGTGGGAATGGAGAGATCCAGATCAGTTGGTTCACTGCACTCATTTCTTGGGAACACATTCTCATGCACATATTAAAAATGGAACAAGTGTTGGCAGAAAGCATGTATGTAAATCCCAGTTAAAAGAAAATTATTTATGCTCAAACTTGAAAGGCTTAATCTTTCTAATCCTTTAAATAAGAGAAACGGACCTAATTTGATTGCAGTATAAAGTGCTACAAGAGGCCTTTCATCTTGAGGATAATGAAATAAGGTCACTAAACTTAAACACACCAAATTTCATATTTGAATTTACCTGACTCTAAAGGTAATAGAATCTGAAACAAATACAGACAATCCCCTTCTCTCTTAAAACTTTCAGATCAAAACTATAGATCTCTTTATTCTTAGGTGCAAATAATGAGTCATTGGGATCATTATGCAATAATTGCAGTACATAAGTGCTCAGGCTGTATAAACTAACAGGACCTTATGTCTCAGCTGGACTTTATAACTCAGACAAATGTTAGGTAATTAACTTGGCAGCAAGGCAATGTTTTGGAGAAATAGACAATATATGGGGTTTTTTTCCTCTACAAGTGTTTCTTTCTTCAGCTTTACTTATTCAACAGTTGACCCATCCTCATACAAACAAGCATATACTGGTTTTTCTCCATATATTTTCACTGTTTCAAGGAGGCCAGCAGGCAATACTCCTTCCTATAGAACCCAAACCATTCTGTTCACATCGTGACTCATTGGATGTGGTCAGTCCCATGTGACAAGTACATAATTTTAAAGATGTTGGGGTTTGGGCTTGCTTGTTGCAACAGCAGAACACAAAACCTGTCACCTTTTAGGGAAAACACAAGGTTAATTTTTATTCACCTCCTCCAAATAGCTGCCTCCCTGGCTTACTACCAAGTGCTCTGTTCCCTCAGAACAGCCTTTGTGCTGTGAGTAGGCCTCTGACATTTTTTAAAGCGATGGAATGCAATTCTAGATGTCACAGATATCACAGTGTATTTACTTGCAGCTCAAGTATTTTATTTGCTTCAGTGGGTTTTCTTCAAATCCCCAGCATCCCCCACCTGCTTGTCTGCAGAGGGACTTCAACTCTACGCCAGTAGCTTAAATATATGAAATAAAACTCTCCTCACACCAACAAAGTGTCCCTTCAATGATAAACATCAAACTTGCAGGGAGTGTAGGATACTCAAGATGTGATATTATATAACATGAAACATTCCATTGCTTAGGGTAGGATTAATAAAAGCACCAGAACTCCTCATGGCTGGATTAATCCAGGCTCTTACGCAGACAGACAACAGGCAAGAAAAGAGCATCTGAACAACCTGCTGTACCTACCTCACCTCAACCCACTGCTAAAAGCAGCAACCAAATGCTACTGTCAAGGTAACTGTGCAAGCCTTACCCCCAGCAAAGGGTTACACCCCTTGTAGACTTTCAAAACTGGACACAGAAGCCTTTAATCTACATCATTACCTGGCAGAAGCAGTTATTTCAAGGTCCTCAAGCAGATGCCACGTTGCTTTCAATGTTGTTTATTCCAGTCGCTAAAAAATGCATTTTTAAGATGTTAATGATAACAAAAGGAATATTGCTAACAAGGCTTAGGCAGATTTCTGGCAGAACCTTTGAATGAAAGGTAATGAAACTGTGAATTGAAATGAGTGAACAGGACAAGAAGATATAATTCTAAATGAAAAATTACAGGTAATAATTTTCCACCCCAAGGAGCTTCCCTTGTGTGTTGAGAAGTGTTGAAAAAACACTTCAAATTAGAGTGACAGTGGCCGGATTGGTTCAACATCTCTGAGCATTAATCACCCAAGAGCAGCTGAAATCAAGACTAAGGTGCTCCAGCAGGAGAATGTCCACATTTTACAGACTTCTGTAAGAGCCAAGTCCATGCTGGGGACTTTACTTAGGGATAGAATGTGCCACCAAATGCTAATACAGAGCACTTCAAAACGTTCTCATAGTCTTTATGGAGGCAAAAAATCCAGTGGGAGCTGAAGACATCTATGCTACCTGCATAAAATGCAAAGCAAATTTATTGACCCCATAGAGTAAAATGTTCAGGACTGGATTGTCATAATGCCTTCGGGACACGCCTTTGAATATTAAAAAAACCCAAACCAACCAAATCCTCACTTTTTACCTGTTAACAGAAACTACAAGATCTCTCTGTTCTCTAAATTCTGTATTTCAGACTAAATGGCCACTGGTTCAGGGTAAACTCCCCACACTCAGAGGCCAAGCATGGGCAGGGGATACTCATGAGGCTTCAAGTTACAAAATACAGGTTTGAATGGGCTGTCTGTACTTCTGCCACATTTCACCACGGTTCAAATCTTATTAATGTAAATATCAACTAAAGAAAAATGATCTATTTTTCCTACATTCTACTGAATTATCAGAAAAACAAAGTGTTCCTGCCTCACTCAAATGATTTTACTTATTTTTTCTCACACTGATATTTTTATTACACTGATCCTCGGGGGACACCACTAGTGACCAGCTGCCAACTGAGTGCACCTGTCCAAGCCGTGGGCTGCCAGCTTTTCCAGGAGTGTGTTCGTGGAGAGCAGTGTAGTGGCTGGAGAGCGGCCAGGTAGAAAGGGACCTGGGGGTTCTGACAGACAGGAAGCTGAACATGAGCCAGCAGTGTGCCCAGGTGGCCTAGAAGACCAATGGATCCTGGCCTGGATCAGAAACAGTGTGGCAGCAGGAGCAGGGAAGTGATTCTGTCCCTGTACTCAGTGCTGGTGAGGTCACACCTGGAGTGCTGTGTCCAGTTCTGGGCCCCTCAGTTGAGGAAGGACATGGAGGGGCTGGAGCAGGTCCAGAGAAGAGCAACGAGGCTGGGGAAGGGACTGGAGCACAAGTCCTGTGAGAAGCAGCTGAGGTTGTTTAGCCTGGAGAAGAGGAGGCTCAGGGGAGACCTCCTCACTCTCTACAACTCCCTGAAAGGAGGGTGTAGCCAGGTGAGGGTTGGTCTCTTCTTCCAGGCAACCAGCAGTAGGACAAGAGGGCTCGGTCTTAAGCTGCACCAGGGGAGGTTTAGGTTGGACATTAGGAAGAAGTTCTACACAGAGAGAGTGATCAGACATTGGAAAGGGCTGCCCAGGGAGGTGGTGGAGGCACCATCCCTGGAGGTGTTTAAGAAGAGACTGGATGTGGCATCAGTGCCATGGTCTGGGTGATAAGGTGGTGTTGGCTCAGAGGTTGGACTCAATGATCTTGGAGCTCTTTTCCAGCCCAGTTGATTCTGTGATTGATCACTCAAACTTTCACTCAAGCTTCCTACATAGCGTCAAGTTGCAGTTTTAAACACAAACTCCATTTCCCAATAAACTCAAGCATCTTTTGCTGTAGATCAAATATCAGAAGAGTACTTTTGCTTCCATTCAGTTCGATGCTGTATCAAAACACCCACCCATCTCTACAGAGATTATTCAGCTCAAGACACGCAGCCAGCAAGTTTTACCAAAACTGTTTTGTTGTGATCTGAGATAAAGATGAATGTTCAGAGCTACACCCTTCTACCTACAAAGCTTTCTGCAATGATTAAAAATGGCTAGAATGAGCTTGAGAGCAACGCTAAAAGCCTGGGGGGGTTGAAAAACCAAAACCAAAACAAGCAGTTTGAGCAAGTCTTTATTCTTCTACTGAAATAACTACAAATAACAAGACAGACTAATTCCCCAATTCTTTTGGCTAAATGTTGGAGTATGATGGAATCCATCCCTCAAATAAATGCATGCTTTGAAAAAGGAAAAATAAGAGTTACTTCTGTGATTTGTGCCTCGCAGCCAAACTTGAATGACCCTGAGAGAAGCCTGTGCAGACAAATCACAAGATTTATGTGCAGCTTGTTAGATCTGTTTCCCACCTCCCTTCGTGTTATTGCTCTGCAAATTGCAGAATGTGGGGTTTTTTTTTTAGTAAGTGCTAATCTTGACTAAAATCCATCATAAAGAGTGCTACAATATTGCTTTTTATTACAAATAGCCAGAACTTCTTTGAAAATATAAATGTGTAAAACAATCCACCGACTGTACAGTGCATTTACAGGACACAATCCAGAAAGTAACATGCAGTGTAAAAACTGCTGTATACATTAGCCCTTGCCCACAAAGAACTTGGCAGTACTACCACGACTTATTAATGACTATAGGGCGAAAAAAAAAATTAAAAAAACCAAAAAGCTCAGTTACATCTAACTTTACCATGAGACTGGGATACATACATCATTGTACAAGGAAGAGTTGCTTTTAACTAGAAACCGTCATCATGTTGTAACTCTTGGAAGGGCTGGATCTGCCAGTTCTCCACTCCTCCTTGCAACTGGTCCTGCTCTCCAGCTGTTTGGCCGCCTTCCCCCCAGGCTGAGGGCTCTCGTACAGCACACAGATAGACCCATCCTCACCTATGCGATAGGACACTTCGAAAGGGTCGACCCACAGAGTTAATTCGCTGGGTAAGAGCTGGAAGAGCCGGTCGTGGCTCAGTCCGATCATCCCCGCCGCTTTTCCTATCAAGGGGTCCATCTTATGGTTGATCCTGATGCAGCGGTACCCGGAGCCCTTGGAAGGCACCAGGGGGAACCAGTGGTGTTTGTAGTGCTCTGCGAGAGGGAACAAAGAAGAGCTTTACCGCGGTGCGCTCCGCCGGACCCCCGGGCCAAGAGGGGATGGAGTGGATAGAGGGGATGGGGGTTGAAGGGAGAGGGGATAGAGGGGGGATGGAAGGGATGTCCCCCCGCCGCTCACCTCGCATCGCCTCCTGCAGCCGCTCGCGGAAGCACCGCAGCTGCTCCTCGCCGACCCCGCCGCCGGCCCGCAGGAGGCGGGTCACGAACGCTGCCGCCGTGGAGATCTCGGTCCTCATGGCCGCCCCGGCCCCGCTGCCAGCGCCGCCCGCCCCGGCCCGGCCCGGCCCCCGCGGCCGCGGCGGCTCCGCGCAACAGCCGCACCGCGCGGGCGGGACGGGGCGGGTTTGTTTTGCTGGCGGAGGAGGCGGGACCAGAGCGGACACCTCGACCGACAACCCCGACCGACAGCCGGACGCCCCCGCGCCGCGCCGGGGCAGCGCTCGGTGGCAGCGGGCTCGGACACCCCGCACCCCGCGCCCCCCGCACCCGCCGAGTGCGGACGCCCCGCGCCCCCCGCGCCCCTGCCCGAGACCCCCCGTCCGGCCGCTCCCGCCCCCGCCGCGGGTCCCATTCCCCACCCAACGGAAATAACGGGCTGGGCGCGGGGCCGCGCTCCGCGATCACCGCGGGCACCGCGTTCGCCCCTTCGCCTGCGTGCGCCACGTTCCTCGGAGCACCACATTCCCACCCCAGGGCATCGGCGGCCCCTCGCAGTCCATGCCCCGCTCCGTCGCCTGCGATGTTCCAGGCACACGTCGCCGTTATCCTGCCTCGTGCCCTTTTCCCTCTCATTTCTCAAGACCCCATATGAGCACAATGTAAAAACCTCTCTCCAGCTCTTCAAGGCAGTCCCTCAAGTGTGGGATTTTCTGCCCTACGGGACCAAGACCCTCAAATGACAAAAAGCTCTTGACATTTGCCCCAAAACCCAGATGCCACCACCTGCTTCGACAGTCCCACATAACTAGAGTATAATTCTGAGCGCCATTTTGTAGCCTAAACCAAGAGATTTGTCATCAAGGAAAAAAAATAATCTTATTTCACCCCTTGAAGAAAAGACAGAAGGTTTCTGTGGTTCCTTTTTCCTCTCACTCACAGCTCTTAGCACTAGACTAACCCTCTCCTAACCAGCTCTCAGGTCTGGATCAAGATGCTGTTTTATTAGAACAACTTTTCACTGAAGCCCAGTTCACATTTTAGTACCTCAAACTTTAGAAATCAAGCTAAAAAATTAATTTCTGCTGGTATCTGGACACATCAGTCATCCACTTACTTCAGTCTTGTTTTCTTCAGTGTTTTGAGAAACATTTAAGGCTAAAGGTAAGCAAGACACAGAAAGACAAGAAAAAAACCAACAGATATGTAACTGACTTTCATCTCTCTGCCAGAAAATGATTCCACAGGCAGCAGTATTTAAAGCAAACTCTGGAAGGGTTCATCAAGAACCTAATTATTTACCTTTTATTATGCTAATATTTTATATAAACAGGATGTTTTAGAGAGTACTGGAGGTCCCAATAACACAGCACTGGAGATGGCAATTAATTTGGAAACACTACACCTGTACAATTTACTGATAACCATTGAAATATGTCATTTTTCATTAGAAACAAATTTTAAGTATTCATACACAGTGGAAAAAAAACCCCACAAGCATCTAGGTTTTGGGTTGGGTTTTTTTTCCCCCCATCTGCTGGAAGATTTCTATGGCTTTAAGAAAAGCAGGTAAATTACCTACTGTTGAGCATTGTTGGGATTAAAAGCCTTGCTTAGCTCTAGAAATGAAAGCAGTCGAAGCCTTGGGCTGCAAGAGTTGACCAAGAGTAAGAGATAAAATTAATATTACAAATGCAAAGCTAGGTGAAACTGGAAGATACAAGCAGAAGGAAGAAAGGGAAACAATTCCAAGGGAATGAGAGGAAAGCCAGCCCAGTGACTAAGACCAGCAAGTCAGCAACAGTTAGATGACAACTCATCTTCAAGCAGGAACTCCAGGCTGAGCCCTGCTGAGGTGGCATCCACACGCAGCTACATCATTCCTGACACAGCTACCAGACATACAACCTTATCTCACTAAGATTTTTTTAGCTCATCAACTCAGACTTACTTTGTTGTTACTCTGTTCACCTGCAAGTCATTTTCTCTCCAGCAGGAACACCTGGAGTAAAGGAAAACAGAGTCAGTGTCTCGAATACTTTAAAAAAGCATAAAATATGTCATAGAAGTTCCTGGCTGGTTTCTCTCCAAGACTTACAGCCTTGGTTTATCCTGTTAAAAATAAAGTTTGAGCAAGTGTTCTGTCATTCTATTTTTCCTCAACTCCAGCTAGAGGAAGAGGAGAAAGTACAACTGAAGCTGTATCACTCATACAGTATATTGTTTTTTAAAAATAGCAGTCATAGTACAATCCTATTTATTTATAAAAAAACAAGCCCTAAACTAAAAATTCCAAATAAACAAACAAAAAACTAAACCAAAACCAAACCAACCCAGAATTTAGTGCAAATAATGTCTAAATCAAGTTCCTTTTAGATTACTTAATTTAGTTCTCAATACACATCTCTACAAACATAGATGAAACAAAGCACTAGAACCTGCAAGAGGAGGTTTTAAACAAAACAAGCAATTTTGGTTTTACTCCATCTCATAGAAGCATCTCTCTCTAAACATAAATAAATAAAACCATTCTTAAAAGCAAGAACTATCTTTTCCTTGTTGCTAGACTACAAAGAGAAACATCGTGTTGCCATTCTCACTACAGGGAGAAAAAGAAGAATTCCAAACACAAATAGTGGTACCTTAAGTGATTTAAGCATCAAATCCATCCATAATTTCCCCAGTTTGGTACATAATTTGGGCCTGGATAGCTGATCACTGGCACTGCTTCTTTTGCAGTGCATGGATAAAGCAAATTACACTCCAGTGATAGTTTAAGTTTGCTGTGCATAATGAGAATAGAGAAATGAACAAGAGAAATCAGAGTTCTCTGACAGAACTGGAAATGTGTCATCCTAACATAGTGTTTTTCACTTAAAAGCACTGTGTGTCCCTGAGCCCTGTGCATTTCCAGCCCTCTCCATGAGTCCCCAAACACTATGTATGAGCCCTCAAGCTCTGTCTGTGTGT